TGTTGGTTATAGAGGATTGGAATCGTCCTTTCAGGTAATCGAGAACTGTAGATCCTCTTAATCTTACATTCCCGCCGAAATCCTTATAGCATTGGTGGTATGCGTCGGTTGCCTTTCCTTCACAGAATGATCCAATGATAAGTCCGGTTGTAGGGTCTTCCACATCCTTTCCTTGCAAGAGTAGGAAGTGTGAGAGTTCTGTGGCCTATCGTTCAAAGGCTTCAGGTTTGAGGTCTTTCCCTTCGCCTGTGAACTTCGCTGGGAGGTGGAGTTTAAACTTAGGGGGTTCAAATGCTGCGGGTACCTCCTCTTCTTCACGCCTTGCCCGAGATTTCCCTCCTCCAGAAGGCCCTCCTCCTGTGCTAGCCATATCTGATTCGCTACTAGATTCGGGGTCGTTTGGAGGTTCAAAGGAAGGTTTCTTTGTTGGAGTAGATGGGAATTCTCCTGGAGGTTGTGTATCTTCCGTGTTTGCAGGATCGCCCGGCTCTTTAGCAGAGCGCCGGGGTTGTTTCTTCCTTGTAAGGTCTTGCCGTGGTATTTGCTTCCCACTCCTGGTTGTCAAAGACTCTATCTTGGGTTTGAGATGAAGCCGAATGTACTGTGATTCTGCCGCTTCTCTCCACTAGCGTTCTGAGGTGGATATCAATAGGTTGATCAGGCCTAAATCCGGGGACAGGTTTTCAACCACTTGCTGAGGTTAAAAAATTGTAACGTGTTCGCAAGGTGCTAATCACATTATCGGTAATAGATACGATAGTTGGCAGGTGGCCTGCTCTTCCAGAGAGGAGGCGAGAGCTGAGAACTAAAGCAGGCTTCGCGGGTGTACTGGGGAACAAAGAAGTAACCGTTCAACCAAGTATATTGAAATACTGTCTGTCGAAATCTGCCTTTTCTATCGTAGAAACAGGCGGTCTTTAAATACACAAATCTGTTCATGTCTAGCATGAACGAAACTAATCAAAGGTATCAAGTGATACACTTTGGTAAAACTTCTTAAGTATCAAAGCGATACTTAAAACAAAACATAAAACAAAACCAAGTATCAAACGATACTTAAAACAAACCAAGTATCAAAGCGATACTTGAAACAAAACATAAAACAAAACCAAGTATCAAACGATACTTAAAACAAACCAAGTATCAAAGCGATACTTGAAACAAAACGTAAAACAAAACCAAGTATCAAACAATACTTAAAACAAACCAAGTATCAAAGCGATACTTGAAACAAAACATAAAACAAAACTAATAACCGAGTACCCGTACCGGTTACATTGCTGCTCTCGAGGGTTCTGCTGAGACGTGATCTAGGGCGTCGCTGAATCCTCCTAGATTAAGATTTTGGTCGTAGATGTCAATATCTCCTTCCCGGTATGGGTTGAAGGATGCCGTCTTGTATCGTTTAGCATCGCACTAGGTGACGCTTTGTAATGTAACGATCCCTCTTTGAATAGTTAGTACTTGGCGATGGGGAACGATACTTCTCTTCCTGTCTTCTTCTTATCTTTGTCTTGCGATAGCTCTAGGCCTTTGCCTACGTTACCGATAGTACAAGACCCTTGTCTTCTACCGGAAACGCCTATCGTAAGCTTTCTCTCACTCTTCTTCGTAAAGCGCCTTTCTTGGCTTAACGATAACGTTGTAATAAAGATAAAGATCGTAAAGGTATTTTATATTCGTTAAAGTAATAAGTAGGAAAAGTACTTAGAACAAAGCGTGAAGAACCTATCTTCCTCGGCTGCATCGGCCTCCTTATATAGTGTTCTTCCCGCCTTTAGTCATGTGACCTAAGTGATCACATGCTCAAAACCCATGACCTCATAGCAAGGTCATGTGCGAAACTCATAAACCAATCACAACGCAATAAACAAGTCATATGACTCGCCTGAGTCATATGCACGAAACCTATGACATCATAATGAGGTCATGTACGAAACATAAATCATATGCGCAAGGCTTGCCTGTAAGGCACACTCGTAAGGTATACTCATCAGGCGCATATCCCATGACTCATACTTGAGCCATGTGCGAAAGCATCACAAATCCCACACATAACTAATCATATAATCCGAATAGGTCATATGTGTGAATCAATAACATACCTGTGACTCATAACCATGTATTACGTGAAAACCCTTTCCTCGCTAAGCCACCTTCGTGACATTATATTGTTAAGGTCTCTTCTCCTTGCTTGATGATGTCTACAGCTTGGGAGGCATTTTAATATTTATATTCCGCGTTTGAGTATTTGCAGACTACATCAATTTATCATACAACTATGTACATTTCTGATCATAACTCACAATGTCGGGTATTCTTGAAAGGTGGGAACACCTGGAGACCGTGAAAATCACCACACCCTCTTTGGCAATTCCAATATAACTAATTCGAAACTATACTGTTCCCAATAGTGGCTATTCAATTCTTAGAGTCTTTAGACTTATAGCCTAGTTCTCAAGTTGAACTGAGTTGGCTCCAATTGTCTCTATCATTGATGAAATGATCAGTTTCATCTGTGGGTTGCAGCTGTGAAGGTAGTCATAATCACAACTTTTTCTCAGGTCGCCTGACTTTAAATCCCTATAACTCTTTACCCAACTGATAGATGTCTTCTGGAGAACATCGTACTAATTCGCAGAAAGCTATTCTACTGGATTGATAGATATTCCCTTGGTCGGCAACCCTTAGTTGCTCTGGGTAATAGGGTTTCAATCACTGTTGTTGTATTGGAAGTGATCTCAGTAACTACAACCTATTCCAAAACCTAGTTGCAACATTCCGTGAAGTCCAATAACTTCTATGGTAGTGTCCCTTGGAGTTCTAGACTCTTTCAGATGTTGTAGGGTAGATGTAAATGTATTAGTCTCTTATTGAGATCATTTACCATTCAATACTGTCTCTTTGTACGAAAGTGTCCCGTTACTTACAGCTCATACCAAGGGTATCATGTCTTTGAATCCTAGTAACCTTTCTGAGAAGTTGTCAGATTTACTCCGTTCTACTTCTCAGACCTAGCCGATGGTCCTCTCTCATGTATACTGTGAACAGGATCTGATCAGACAGACAGCGATGACGTATACAGTATTACTCTGACACCTTCAATCTGGTGGTATTATAGTCACAGGATACAACTGAGATTGATATGTATGATGATGTGCAGGCCCCATAAGGGGGCCGGAGGGGAGTGTTGGAGATCAGAGATTCCAATTCCAGATGGGGTTATCCTACTTAGGGTAACTCCTAGGTATCGGATCTCAATATTCCTAACATTAGTTGTATAGTACTAGTTAGAATTAGTCTGCAAATACTCAGACATGGGATATAAATATTGAAGTATCTCCTGAGTTTTACAGATATCAAGTAATGGAAAAGAGATCTTAACAATATAAAATTGTTCTACCAACAAATCTTTATCATACTATCTTTACTGTTTTCTTTAAACCACGTTCTTAGTAGTCATTAATGAAAAAACAATAATGAGCCTTCTTAGACAATCTCCATCTACATCAAAGATTCTGGCCTTAGTCTTCTTAACACATACTAGTGTTGGCTTCTGCCCAACACTTGCTGCCAAAATACCTAACTTTGAAGACTAGTAACTTAAGATGCTTCTACTAGATGACTCCCACTCTACTTCCCAGATAAAAGATATTCTCAGAAGTTTTCTCTTATATATTATATGAAGAGCTTCCCGTATTAGAATATAATATAGTAATATATTATAAGAATTTACATCATTGAACCCCATTATGGAATTAAAATAAGACATATCTTACAAAGAAAAAATTGTATAATATTAGTTTTTGAGCTGAAAACTACTTAAAGAAAATATTAACATCATTCCTCTCTTTCTTTCAACCCTCAACTCATATAATTAGCTGACTATTTATTATATGTCTGCTGCAGTTCAATGACTCCTAGCTAGCCATGTATGTGTAATATCATAACTACATGATCTTAAACCTAGTCATGTATCCAATTTTTAAAATATTTTTCTTAGTATATCACCTTCAAATCTGAAAATATCATAATATGAAAATACTTGATCGACTTCTGAAGTTGTCCAAAGCTAGTGGTATCCTTCCTATTCCCTCCTGGCACAAGTATGAAAGAGGGCAAAAAAGGTTTAGCCTTTCGATATCCATAGCCTTACTAGGGGCTACCATTTACCGGCAAGATGAGATGTGTTAGGTACAAAGCATATTTCATAGTGCCGAGAAGAGCATAGTTCCCAAGACTGTAGAACAAAGCAGAGAAGAGACGTGAATACCATAATAGCATTATTATAATAATGCCTCAAGGCTGAAATTAACTTTCCTTTTTCCAACCGGCACAGTGTCGTGGGACGGATACCCAACCGTGCCAAAATTTTCACGGTACTTGAGCGTTGCCAGCCAGACCACCACCTACCGAACGCTCTACCGGTGCCACTGCACATAACTATAAGTTAATTAGCTACAGGTGCTGTAGTTATCATATCATCATCAAAATCATCGCCTTCATCACACATTCATCTCGGAAGTTATGTAAATAATGGCGGAGTGAGGGGAATGGGGTGGGGTGCAACCACGATTTCACGGGTTATTGTAACCGTTCCGGGTTACTAATTTTGGCTGGTAGGCAAGGCGGGTGTGGTTACAGGGGTCGCGGCGATCGAGGTACCGGTAATCTATCGGCGATAAGTAAGAGTTGGGTTACGGTGTTCATTTTTGACGTTTGTCGTTCGCCAGGGCGGAGTTTAGTGGGGTGGTTTGGATTTTGGATGGGGGAGGCTTTGCGGGTTGGTTTCTAGAAATACTGGGGGGGAGGGGGTTTACTTTTTATTTCGTTTCATTTTTATTTTATTTCACGTTATTTTATGGGAGGTTTGAATGTTGATTGCGGAGGGCGGGGAAAAGTCTAGTTTATATGCTTCGTACTAATTTTTAAATTAAAACCAAGATCTGAAAGCCGAAGAAAGTGAGTAGAGGAATAGGAGGGAGGGAGTTTTTCATTTCTCAATCCCAAACATTCCCGCAAGACCTCGAATTCGAAATCTGTGTAACGAGGATGTCCTCCGCCCCCGTTTCTTCGAGCCTATCCATGACCGTAGCGATACTGCTCTTCTCCACCATGGCCGAGACGGAGACCCAGCCGTACTCATCCAGCTGCGTGATGGTGGGCGCGCGCTTGCCAGGTGTGACCTTCGTCACGGCGGCTAGTTTATCGCGGGAGATGTTGTAGGTGCACAGCACGTATTTTTTGGCCACGATGACGCCGCGGATGCGCGACTCGATCGTTTTCACAAGGGTGGGGTTAGAGGGGTGTTTGGACTTTATCAGGACGGCACCCGTGGTCAAGATTGTAGCGATGGGTTTTAGGCCGGCAGCTCTCATGGTTTCACCGGATTCTGTTTTCAGACGCTGTTGGTTAGGTGATTGTGGTACCTAGATGAGGAGGCGGGGAGGGGAGAGGGGGCGGGTAAGTACCGACTAAGTCGACGATCCCATCGGCGACACCGAGAGCGCAGGCAGCCTCGACGCTTCCACCGACATACTTTATCCTGGTAACTGTACCGTCTACCTTAATAGCCCTGGGAGTAGCTCTAGGGGTTGTCTTCTCCAGAGCATTCAAGTTTAACTCCCCCACCCCTCCGCTACCTCCTCCTCCTTCCTTCCTCCCCCTCTCCTCCGCATTGTCACTCCCAACCCCATCCTTCACCTGCTCCTCCAACCTGGCGAAATACTCACTGGCCAACAGCGTGAAGCTCGTGACGATGTTCTTCCCGATTAATTCCCTGGGCACCTGGATCGGGCCCTTCTCCGGGACCTGCACTTGCAGCTTGCACTTCCCGAAGCCCAATTCCATCAGTTCCTCCACGTCCGCTTGCGACTCCGCAACCTGGTCCTGCCCGGTTATGCCCAGACCCACACGGCCCTCGCCGACGAAGACGGGGATGTCGGCTGCCGGGAGGAAGACGAGCGCTATGGGGTGGTTGATGCATAGGGCTATGTCAAGACGGCTGTGGCGGTGGAATTGGATGTCGGCGCCGTGGAGGAGGTCGAGGCAATTCTGGTGGAGGCGGCCTTCTGTAGTGGGGTCGTTAGCTACTCATTGGTGCGGAAGAAGGGGGGGGGGAACTCTTGGGAACGGCAAAGAGGAGGCGGTCGCTCAGGCTGAGTCATTGGCATTGAGATGTTAGTAACCGAGACAACTTCCATCTAGAAGAGAAAAGGCGTAGGAAAACAAACTGATTGACAAGATCCATTGTGTGATCTTCAAGTAGTCTTTTTTCCTTTTTTCCTCCTTTTCTTTTTTTGCGGTTCCTTTTCTTTCCGTTAAGGGAGGGAGATCGGACGGAAGAAGGCGTATGTGTGGGATGATGTACTAGTACGAGAAGGAAAGGGGTTGTTTGAGTAACGAAGGGGGTGAGTGGGTGAGGGGTTGATAACAGCTTGGTATGGATGGTAGGGTTAGATTGATGAATTAGATTAGACTTTACTGAATGATGCCATGCACCTTACCAAATCCCGTGGTGGGGTTACATACAACAGTTGCGTTATCATATGATGCCGGTAAGTGTCTAAGACAAGGGCAGGAGAAAAAGGAAGAAGAAGGAGGAGAAGAAAGGGGGGAGGTTTGTCTGTAAGTAAGGGTACAGTACTGTACTTTGGGGAGTTGAGGTTTGTGTTGATCCGGGGACCAGGGTTTCGTTTTTATCTCATCCTTCCCCAATCCACCCGCTCCTCCTCCCCGTTCGTGACTTTGTTCCGCCACGCACGATAGCAGAGAATTCCACACATAACCACTCGGAGTAATATTATAGTATGGTCTAATAGATAACTACGGTAGCCTGGTCTAGCCCAGCCCAGTCCAACTCCTCTCAAAACTCTACAAAATTACCATTTTCTCTCTTAGTCAGTTGTGCTCACCTGGTAAATCCTCGTTCAAAGGGAATAAAAGAAAGGGGAGAAGGAAAAGCCCTGTCGATCCATCCATTCACCCATCCACCCTCACGTCCACCCATCGAAAACAAATGGAAAAATGGATAAGGGTCAAGGGTTAGGGCACAGCAGCCTCATCCTTACCTGATGATTGACATCTACCCTGCCGAACCCGGCCCCTCATCGATAGAGTACGTATGATACAAATACTCGTACAAGTACAATGGTGATAGTCCACCGTACTGGTACCGTAGACTGCTCCGCACAGTCTCACCAATCACGTCTTTAAAACCCACCATACCCGACACACGGCATCATACCCAACCCATGCGAAGGATGTGATGTGCTACCGTACCCCTTCAATCGATCAATCAATCAATCATCACCACTGAGCTTGTGTGAATGCACACCCACATATACACCATACCACCGTACCGCACGACACGGTACAGTACTCGTAGTGTCGAAGCGTTTTTAAAAAGGACTGCTATTGCATGCCACCAAGATCCCAGCAGAATGGCCAATTTTTGGTGGTATGCAATAGCAGTCTTTTCTAAAAACGCTTCGACATTACGAGTATCAGACACACATGTCGTACCCTACGTGACGTGATGTGACATACGGTATTCGAGTATGATACGCTCTTTACGCCCCGTTGGCATCAACTGTCATTCATCGCCTTAAATCCAGGAACTCCTCGAGCGAACTGCACACACACGCGTTTGTGGGTGGGCGTGTGCGGGCTTATTCGGAATAGACCTACTGTGCCTGTTCCTGCCTATCTACGGTACTGAAGCGGGGCGGAGCGTATGACGACTTACTGTATGCTATTACCGAGAAGTATGATACCGTCACTCATTCCACTCCTGCTTCTCCCCGCCCGCCAGGGTTTTCCTGGCTGTGGGTGGATGTGTGTGTGGGGGGAGGGAGGGGGTAAAGGCAGTGTTGTATGAGGGAAGAGATGGAAGACCGGGCCGGATTGTGAGTGGGACTGGGAAGAGAGTGGGAATGTGGTTGCGATCCCGATCTGTTACCTGTGTGTATTTTGCTTTTTTGCTCTACTCGTACTGGTAACTCTTCAGCACTGGTTCTGAACGTTTCATGGGTGCGTGCCAGGTGCTTACTCGAGTACTTCGGGGGGAGGGATTGAATGAATGAATGAGTGAGGAGCTCGGGTGTTGCCGGACGGAACGGGTCTGGTGGGGGGGGGTGCTCCGACCTCCAACCCCCCGCGTTCGAATTCCCCTCCCCCACGATGATACTATGATACCTCTGCTTCCATTCCGTTCCGATGGGAGGGAGGGCTTAGCCCTTCCATCCTTCCCCCTTCCCTTCTTGCAATTCAATGCAATCTGATTCCTTATCGATAGCGGATTAGATACCGGTAGATAGACTTGCTGTGAATACGTTTTTACAAACGGCACACATGTTGCGCCGCCACACCATCTACCTGCCCTGCCCTGCCTTGTGCTACGACAAAAAGCAAGGTGATGTGCTTTCAGTGGTTGTGAAAAAGCCGATTACCCAAATTCCCGATTCCATGAAAGGGTAAAAAAGGGGAGAAAAAAGGAAAAAAGTGGGATATGTATGCTTCGGTCGGTTGGGTCGGCTAAGCGTGAGGGAATTGCTATTGGGAGTTTTTGAAGTCAAAACGCACTTTTCTACAACCCCCCCCCTCATTCCCTTCCTCACCCTCGGAGCGCAGGGAATGGGGGAGAGGGGGGTGTAACCATGGTTGAAGTGAAGTGCTATCTTGTTTACCTACGCGTGAGCGCTTTCTTGTTCCTCCGGTCATTGACAGTGGTTATTGACTTACTTGCGCTGGTCTGGATTGATCGACCGTGGGTGAGTGGCTAGGGGTGGAGCTGGAGTGGGGAGCTTTCAAGGGGTATGGTACTACGAGTACGCTGTAAGTTAGACTAATTAGGTATAGTTAGAGCAAAAACCGGAAGGTCGGAATCCCCTCCCCCACCCGTGTTTTGTTTAGATCCCGTCTGTCTGCCTGTTTGATGTTACCGGAGGTGGGGATCACGATTCATGAGGGTTGAAGCTTTGTAATTGGATTGAAGTAAGAAGATGGATGATAAGTGAGGGTAGTGAATCAAGGAAAACACAGTAACGGTATTCCAAGCTAAGCTTGCTGAAGCTCTAGCTTAGCTTACCTCTACTAGCAGTAAAACCACGGGTGGTCTGCAGGTTTTCCGGGGAGAGTGGGATGATTGAGGCTGGTGGTACAGTGCTCGTCGGGTGGGTGCTTTGATGGGCTGATGGAGGGGGATGGTGGGTTCGGAAGGGCTGTACGGGCGCAAGGTTCTGGTTGGCTGGTTAAGCCTTTTATATTTGTCAACGGGGGGAATCGGAGGTCTGGCCCACTGCAGCATGGCTCGCCTGCAGCGGAGATAGGTACCGTCCCGCATGCTGTGGGTCAGGTACGGTACGTACTATACCTCGTACTTGGATGTTACGCGCTGTGTCGTATTATTTTCGCAATGCGCGTGCTTGTTTGGTTGGTTTGTGATATGTTGGCGGAATGGACGAGAGTGCAGACTGGATGAAACACCCTGCTCTGCCAGAAGAGCAGAATGGCAGGGTACGGTAGATTGGCGTACGGGAGGGGCTCAACTTAGGCCCCCAGGCCAGTAAGGTTATACTGTGCTAGACCAGAATGCTCCGAAAGAATTGAGTTTGGCTACCGAAGCTCTCTGATAGAGCTCTTACCATACCGGTACCACTATGGTGCAGCATCGCAGTCTGCCGTATCCTATCCATTCCCTCCCCACAAGGTTCCATCACTAAGCTAATACAGCGATATATAGGGCTCTGCCTAACTTGCCGTATGCAACTTCCCCTAGTTGTCCCAGCCGCCAGGTGGTTTACCGGTACTCGAGTGCTTCACCCCATAGCCAATTTGTCTGTCCCGCCTTGACACATGCAGTATAGCACTACATACCGTATTCTGATACCGAATATTTCATATTGGGGAACTCGTCCTACCGCTATCCGTCAGCATGGTCTAATCACTACCAGTCGGTCTCGATTAGGATTGCAATTCTTCGGGGGCCCCCATCTCACAAGGCTGGACTTCGCACTCGCTCACGAACCGGGCGATATAACGCTGCGAGGAAGGAGGGGGATGTTCAGTCCGATATACCTTGTTCAAGATCTATCAACATACCAAAGCCTTGCCCTGATTTCAGCCGGATGTTACCACTGGTGCGGTATTTGATCCGACATTGGAGACTTAAGAAGGCTCCGGTACCATATACAGATACCGTATGGGTATTTCGCGAATCTGAGAGATTAGAGCTCGGTTCTCGCAAGGCTCCCTCTTTCCCTGCACGTGGTCACCCGAAACCTTATGCTACCCTATGCCGTCCCGCTAGGAGAAGGCTGTGGGGATGCTCATTGCAAGGCTACTGCAGTAACTCACTATCACAGAGACAAGGACTTTGCGAGGGCATGAGTTCGATATATTAGGGCAGTTCACTTCGCTGGAGATCGCTAGTTTGATAGTCCATCACTCGAGGTGTTTGGATTGCGATAGCACTTTTTTTAAAGTCTGCGCTCGGATAGTCCCGGGTCTGTTCGGTGAAGAATTTGGGAGAAGCCTTAATAAATTCCTGGCCACTAGTTAGTCGCCTTGACTAATATTCGATGCTGTGGTGGTGATCGGCGGTCTGCTCTTATATCTGTTATTTTCTACCTTGCGTTTGCTATTCGTTAGTTTTGGCTGAGCTAGATTACTTCTTTTGTTCTCTCACCTCATTGTGGGCCCATATTGTGGCTAAATCAATAGCCTTTGAAAAGATGTGTTCGGATGCTCATTGGGAGACTTCTGAGTGATCGTGCGGAATGCTTCTGCGAAGGTTGAAGATTTTGGAATGGCCTGTTTTGATGTCAGTCCAATGATATGGTGACCATTTAGCCACTTGCTTTCGGGGTATGTTTCCTCGGATAGGGGGTGGGTCAAGTTAGGTTAATTTGGTAGACGTCGTTGAACTATGATACTGTGAGCAATCGCTGAATGGAGCGATGCACCCAATACCCACCATCCAGCCATCCAGCCATCCAGCCACACTCCCCTAATGGATGGGGACGTAAATATTAGTAGAAACTCACATCCACCAGAAGCCTTCAAAACTTCACGATGTAATTGAAATTTTTTCGAATCACCTGCAGTCCGCTGTGACGCACCCTTCTCCTTCTCCAGTTGCCTCCATTTTCTGCTCATTTTCTCTCAAATAAGGGACAAGCTGGTTCATTACGCCATCTCCCTTCCGCCGACGCTCCTCTGTAGATTAAGGCATGGATCAAGCAAACCACGTAGCGCTGCAAAAAAAAAACCCCCACGATGCCAGCAACGAAAACACAGTAGTCGGGCAAAATAAACTCCAAACACCCATCACAATACGGCGAATCGCCGTGACACTCCGTGAAGCATTTCGCCATCATCGAAAGTTTGTTATTCGTGAGCTCGCGGGGATGTGTGCTATGTGCTCATTCCACGTTCCTCTATTG